GGCAAGTCCTGCAAAGTGTTTTTCATGCAATGTTGAAGGTTAAAGAAAGCAGAAACATCCATACTTGATAACAAGACTGCTGTTTGTCAGCCGCAAGTGGATCTGTTATCATGCATTTAATATTGTGTCTTTTTCAATCGACCCGTGGACATCTGTTACAGCGCAACTGGTCCTCTGCTTATCATGACAAATAATGATGGCCCTAAATGCTCATCAGCTCCCGCCGCAACATGTTAATGATCAGCCGCAAAGACCCAGAGGCAAAAGAAACAGAAGCGCACAAAGACTATGAGCTATCTCAGATGAAGCGGCGCCGTCCAAGTCCTTTCAAAATGAAGACAGAGCGTATAAAAGAAGCCAGATCTATCGGAAAGAGGAATTAGAGCTCTCCGGGGAACCTGGATGACTCACAAGCAGCGAAGCAAAACATTAGCTAGACAAAACAGACACACAAACATAGATAGACGCTTCCACTATGCTTGCGTGTGAATTCCCGTGGTGCGGATTTCTGTTGTCATGGTTGTGGAAACAAAGGATGGTGGTCAACAGCTCGGGACAGTCCTGATGGCTGATGCCTCCCAGCAGCAGCAGCGCTCTGTTGGAATATGTTCAGGTAGTGCAGGCCTGTCTAAACAAGTAATGCAAAGACGTTAAGCTACTTTTTATGGTGATCTTGGGGAATGCCCTAGTTACAGTTCAGCCTGCTGTACTGTGGGAAGCCAACCATAGGGAGAGATTTGTGAGGTTTGAGCTGCAGAGACACAGCGATGACGGCCATAGAGGTGATACTGAGGTGACGCTATTACCAGAATAGCAACCTGTTTCATGGCCTGTTTCAGCAGTAGGGGCATGTCTGAGCAAATGTGGTAGTTGAAATATTTCTGCCTTATGGTGACCTTGTTCAGTCAGTCTTATACGGGATGCCTGTGATTCACAGTTAAGGTAAAAGTTTGAATCAGACAAATTGGGATGCTAAACACTTTTGTTTTTTTTGGCCATAATAGTCAGATTGGTCAATAAGTGAATGCCTTCTCACCCTGCTAGCATGTCCCTGTGGTGTTTTCTTTTTTTAGATGCTAGAAGACACACCATAAGTGAACTAAGCAGTCAGTGCCATGTGTGACACTTAGTCTGTTGGTTGGGCACATTGGCTGTCTGGGTTTTGTTCTGCTTCCTCAGGTCCCTAAACTGCTGGAGACTGAGTGGGCGGTTCTACCTGCTTGGCACGCTCGGGCCCAGCGCTCCCAGGCTACAAACGGGCCAACCCCTCAGCTCCGGCTCTCTCTCAACATGCTTGTGATTTACGACCACACTGTCATTTTGGTTTGTGTATAGACAACACCTCACACCACACCGCATCCAGGCATCTGCACCTACACTACTGATATCACTGACTCACTTTGGTAATATTAATTTAGCAGTTAATAAAAGATAACACCTTCTTCTGGCAATACTTGTGTCGTCTCCCCTCTTTTGTTGCAACCTATTTGTGAAACATGGCTTAGCATTTCCACCTCAAAACTGCAGCGCACTATCTCACAAACTGTCTCATGGATTCAGACAGGAACCATCCATCCATCCATCCATCCATTATCTATACACCGCTTAATCCTCACTAGGGTCATGGGGGGCTGGAGCCTATCCCAGGTGACTCAGGGTGAAGGCAGGTTCACCTGGACAGGTCACCAGTCTATCACAGGGCTACACTTAGAGACAGACAACCAAGCACACTCACATTCACACCTACGGACAATTTAGAATCACCAATTAACCTCAGCATGTTTCTGGACTGTGTGGGAGGAAGCCAGAGAACCCGGAGAGAACCCACGCTGCACGGGGAGAACATGGAGACTCCACGCAGAAAGATCTCCGGCGTTCTCACCGGGATGCGAACCGGCAACCTTCTTGCTGTGAGGCGACAGTAGACAGGAACCTGTTAGAATTAAGTATGTATCGATTTTATTTTGCACTGAGCCTATGATTCTGTTTCGTATTTTCCTACTGAGAACAGCACACGTCCTTGAAGATAATGTGGCCGGTGAGAAGCGGTTCACACACTTGGAGACGGCAGAAACTCTGTTCTATCAGATACGATTGTTACTTTAGCTACACGCCATACCAACAACATCCACACATGTTGCTTACCAAATATCAAGGACGTGGACAGAGTGCAGAAGAGCTATGCCTGTCCACACCGTTGGTAACTGGCCAATTAAACTCCGTAGCGTACAAATCTTATCTATGTTCGGGGCAGGTCCAGCCCAAGAAGATATCTGTAACCTGGAGCCGAAAAACCTCAGTTCAGCTGGACATGAGATTCCTCTCTGTCCCTCTGAATTCCAGCGCTGCCTCACTTTACCTGTGACTGAAACAAACAAATTATACAACTGAGAACTGAAGATTTCTCCGGCTTGTTCTTGGGCTTCCGACTAAAGAATCGGGTCTAACAAACCAGTCCTGCTAAATTGCAGGGTGTGGCGTTCTGTATCCTTATTCCTCTTTGGAATCAGCGTCTGTTTGAGCATGTATTTTTAGAATTACTCAAACATTACAATGTGCAACCGTGCAGCCAGCAGTTTCTGAGCAGACGTCGGGGAGCTGGTGTGCTTGAGCTGCAGCAAGTAGAAGTGGATGGAGAAAGAGCTGGACACTTCATCCATCTATACATTCTAGTGAAAGCAGCGTCGTAAAACCGCATCTAAGCCGTTTTAAGACAAGAAGGGATAGTTTTTCTTTCTAAATGGACTATTTAAATACACACAGATGGGGTTTTTAGCGGTTTAATGAATTACCAGAGAGGGACTTTAAGCTGCTTCATCCTTTATGGCGTCGTTGGGTAAATGATCTCTTACTGTTGGCTAAATTATAGTGCAGGACGCTTACTGTAATCAGAGTTGTTCCATTTCAGAGAAACAAAGAAATGAAAGCATTAAGCAATAACCTTAAAATATCCCCGTAACAATTTAAAGTGTCACTGCAATGTGAGCTACAAAGCGAGCTGTGACAGTGTGTCTTATTTGAAGTTTCAAAGCGATGTTTTCATGGTGACCTCGGGGAATGTTGTCATAGTTATTGTGACGGGAGCTAACTGTAATCAGAGATATTTAAAGTTTGAGTCATAGAAAAGGTCAGTAAATATTTTGCCAGTATAATAATAATAATGTCTGGAATGCCACCATTGCATGCCACTGACTTCTTGTCTTTTCACTCCCGTAGTTTTGTCCTCTCTGCTGGTATCTCTATCCCCAGAGCTTTCTGACGTTACCAGCCTCACCAATGTTTAGTGTTCTCTTATGTGTTGTTGCTGATTTCTGTCTGCTATCCTTTAACCTCAACCCCAACTGATAAAAGCAGATGACCGGCCTGCCCGAGCCTGGTTCTGTCAGAGGTTTGTTCAGTTATGGGGGAGTGTTTCCTTCCTAAAGAACAACTTTGGATTTTTTGGTTTTCTTTCTATGATATACTTATGGTAAGGTCTTTACTTTTTAATGTAAAGTGCCATGAGATGAACTGAACTGAATCGAATTGAACTGATCAGAATGTTTAGTAAGAGCTTTAACTCACTCTGTAAGTCTAGCAGGCAAAATTGCAAAATCTATTTTTTTAGTGTCACGTTGGGAAAGGTCCACATCTGTGTCATGTACTGTCATACTTTGACACTTAAAATGTCAGTGCTAGTGTCGTGGAAAGAATCAGCAATATACATTACATCTTACATTCTTACAATCTAATATTCTTACATTCTTTCAACTATTTTCTATTCTTACCCACTAAGAAATAATGTAGGAAAAAAGTAACGCAGCAGTTTGCATCACTCTTTTCGAGTTATGGCAACTTCTAATACAATAAACCAACAAACTACACCTTTCCTCTCCAAATCACAAATATTTCTAATTATCAGTCTTAACCAGCTAAAATTGTGAGGCATGTTAAGACAGGGTGGCTCAGTGGTTAGCACCTTTATGTGTGGATCTTGCATGTTCTCCCCATTCAACGTGGGTTCTGTCCGGGTTCTCCAGCTTTCCCCTCATAGTCCAAACACATGTTGGGGTTAATTGGTGATTCTAAATTGTCCGTAGGTGTGAATGTGAGTGTGCTCTGTCTCTAAGTGTTGCCCTGCGATAGACTGGTTACCTGAGTCTGCTGGGATAGACTCCAGACGCCCCCCCTGTGACACGAGTGAGGATTAAGCGGTGAATAGACAATGGATGGATGGATAAGATAAGATAGGATATGCCTTTATTTATCTCACAGTGGAGAAATTCACATTGTTGGTAGCAGCATTAAATAGAGGTACACATATACGAGATAGAAATAAAATAAAAAATCAAAAATGTACATATAAGTATAAGAAATAGTGCAAACAATGGTGTGGGTGGATGGATGTTAAGACAGGGGACAGGACATGAAATCCTGAACTCAAGGTGAAGAAAAATGTTGTTAGAAAGCCAGTTTTATTAGGTTACCTTAATTTGAATATTGCTTTTAAATCAACTAATGCAGAAATTTGAGTTCTAATCAGACACAATATTGAGTTGATGCAATTACCATCTTTATTAGATCAACTCCTGAAAATAAGGTATGCAACTTAAAAGGTTCATCTGAATTTGATTTTTCCTTTCATCTTGCAACCATGCACTCCATTAAGTCATGGCAACAGATCCCTGGAATTATCCTGTACTGGAGGTGTAATTTTGCCAAAGTGGAACAACCTTAAATCATCTCACTAAGAGCCTCTTTAATGCTTTTGAGTTTGGAAATTGCCAGTGAAACGCCACGGCAGATTACATTCAAGTGTTTTATGATTTCACTGGAGGCTATAAACATCCATCCACAATTCCCACCTCGCCTTGGGAATTTTTTCTTCTTCTTCTTCTTCTTCTTCGTTTGTGGCTCTGGAGACTCCCAGACCATGCGGGCTACGTGGTGCTGTGACACGGTCCGTGATTGGCGGGCTGCGCTGTGTGTCTGGGAACCTGCTACTGGTTTCCATCCACACTCACACAGGCAGCCAGACGGACTGGATCTCCGGCAGCAGGAGAGAGAAGAAGAAAAAAAAAACCCAAAAAACTACCAGTGAAGTGAAGTCGACGCGATGTTAAACACGAAATGCTCCGGTTTGGTTTGAGAGGACAGCTGACAATAAGGAAGAAGAAGAAGAAGCTGCTGGAGGAAGAAGCAAAGTGTGACAGCTGGAAGACGAATAACACAGTTTTAGTGGAGCCGCACGTGGATAACACTCGGTGAGTCCGTGTCACTTTGTAAATGTAGAAATAGTTGCTCAGAAGACGAGTTTAGTTGCTGAAGGAGGAGGTTTTTAATTTATAATCCGTCCAAACACTTTGCGGTGAAATCAAGCGTGCGCGCGACTCTAGCTAATTAACCGTTAGCCGAACTTACTTATTATTAATCAAATGTTTTGGAAATATTTCCCTGTTAAAGTGTCTGCTTCCACTGAATTCAAGTTATTTTCTTCACAAACAACAGACATTTTCTCATAGGTGAGCCGCACCTCCTTGTTTGTTTGTTTGTTTTTGTTTGTTAGCTAACGTCGTCCTGTCACACTGTTGTTGTTGTTGTTGTAAAGGAAACTAAATTCTAGCTGTAAATTGTCCGGCAGAGTAAGTTGTTTTTCTGTGGAAGTGCAGATATTCCAGTGAACTGCTGTCAGTGGGTTTTGGGTGGAGTCCAACTGGGTGATTGCTGTGCTACTGTGTCATCAGGCTGTTTGCTCAAAACGAAACACCATCAGCTAGAGATCATAAAATACTAGATTGGTGTCAAAGTGTTATCCTCACGTAGTCTACATTTTAAGGCAACAGTTGTTTTTGTTTCCTGATGTGCCATATGTGTGGCTGACAGCTTAATGAGTCCTCAGCAGAGACAGTGGCGTTAACACTTAATGCAACAACATTCAGCATCATCAAGTCAAGTTGTTGTTTTTGATGTGGCATGTGTACAACAAAGGTGGAAAAGCAGGTTTTAAAAGCAAATATCTAGTGTTTCTCTTTAGTCCAAGGAATATAGTTTAGAGCCATTGTAGGTCACTTAGAGACACCTAAAGCAAGCAAATGCCAAAAGGATATTTATTGTAAAAAAGAAAAAAAAACCCGATTCATTTGCCAAAAATGTCCTCATTTTTGCAAAGCATGCTTGTTTTGGTTTGATGACAATCAATGATTTTAATCCATTTAAAAAATCTTTGCCTGGCTCTTCACCAAGAAGCTGGCTGTATTTAAACACCAGAATCCCAGAAGAGCAATTCCGACACATCTCCGCCGCTGTTTCTCTGACAGGTCGGGACCTGGGAGGCCGTTTGGTTCAGATTAGCTCCGAGGCTCCTAATCCTACCTCTGTGCTTCCCAATGGCTTTAACTAACCCACTTACATTAACATATTGCTTCTACGTATTCTGGAGTTCAGGCTTTAATTTGCTCTGGCGGCATGCCATCAAAGATAAGCTCATACATTCGCCCATACTTCAGTGTCCATAATGTAAACTGTTGAGCCGGCTCCCTAACCGTGGCCACCACCTCAGCTTGTTCGCTTGCGAGACAGAACGTATCCTTGGAGGCAGACATATAAAGACATAAAGATGGTTCTTTCTTCAGTAGATCACACAGTGAGAAGGAGAACAAAACCAGCCTTTCAGTGTGTCTGACAAAATGACACGAAGATTTAGAGTCCCTGAGAAATCTGAATCGCTGAAGCTGTAGTCACATTCCCTGCATTACAGGCATTACTGTGCCCTGTGCCGTGATGTTCACCAGCACCTCTGTTTGCAATATATTTAAAAGAAATTTGATAAAATCATGCACCAAGGCTGATTAACACTGATATGAGACTGTTTTTTTCTTTTTGTGTTTACAATTTTTTCAGATTGTTGCTCTAACTGCATCAACTATATCCACTGTTTTGGTTATGCACACTACCACAGGGCCATTGTATATTCAGTTTTGTATTGTTAATGCCTCGTGCTGTTGCCTCTGTGTATAAGTGAGTCATTGTGGTAATGATCCCTGCAGTGTTCGAGACATCTATTGGTAAGTGCTCTACGTTTGCTTTTCGCTGTTTACCCAGTCCCTCTCAAATGTTTTATTGCTATAAGGTGCTGCGCTATAAAGAATGAGCTCATTTGGGAGCCTGGCATATCATTCATTGATTCATCGTTAGACCATGCCTCCCTGGCACTATATAACCCTCACTAACAGCTGAGTCACCCCGGAAAATGGATGGGTCTCTTTCCATATCTTTTCTTTTTGAGTGAAAAGACTAAGGTCCTGCTCAGCTTGCTGCGTTGATGGAGCGCTATTCGTTTCTGTGATGTATGGTTTCTCTTATTTCATAACATCAACTAGACATCAGTCGGCCATACACAGTTTGTTCTTGTGTACGTTGTCATCTGCTTCTTGTCCCACGGTGTTCACTGGTTGCCTTGCATATTGTTAAGGAAAAAACATACACTACTCCTATTAAAGACATAAATAACTGAGACAGGGTGAAAAACGAATGATAAAATAATAAGAAGGATCTGGAGGCAAGGAATGGTTCTGATCCCATCAGAGCATTTCAGGCAAACTGCTGTAATACTCCCTCCAGAACAAAGTGGCCTACAAATTTCCGTAGGAGGAGCATCTCTCAGAATGGCCAATTATGGATGTTGACATGCATTTCTCTGTTCACTTTCTGAAAATCAGTTTGATCCCTCTGCTGAGCACAAACTTTTCAACTATGAGAAAACTAGAATGTCTGTACTGTAATTTCTTGCCTTGCTGATGTTGTTATCCGCACAATAAACACAGTGGTTCAGGCTTGAAGTCATACATGAAACAGCTCTTCATTTAGATTTGGTTGTGAGGAATCCAGACGCCCTGCTGTCTCAAAAACAAAATGAATGAGAAAAAGTAACTGTTTTTCCCCTGAGTTGTTTTGAAGTGATGCACAGGGAGCGAGAGCAGCTCAGCATCCAATGTATCTGAGAGTTTGCAAAGAAAACTGAGTGCGAGATGCTGAATTTGGAAAAAAACATAGTTGAGTTGCAGCACTGGCTGTCATTTCTGTTGGATGAGTTTGAGATAACTTGTAAGTCTGGTGATGTTGTTTAGTGTTCTAGTTTACCCTCCTGTACGTACATGCTTAACTTATTTATTAAGTAAAGTACATTTGACTAAATCAAACACATTTAAAGAGATCTGGAAGTTAAAGACGGCAGACAGACTGTGTTCATGAGCCGACATGATTTGACTGTGATTATTGATGAAAATTTCAAATAATTTTCTTACCCAGTTGTCAGCTACATTAACGATCACTGATTAATATGTGAAATGTGTGAAACACAATGGACATTTTCCATATGTTTATAAGAAAAAACATTTTTCCCCATAGACATTTGATGTTCAAGGCAGAATTGTCCCAGTTACATTAGCCCCAGGGCTACAAGAATGCTGCCCCAGTAAACTTGGGCTTATTCTCTGCTCATTGGGCCATTAACCACGTCAGAAATCTTTGTCATGGTGCCCGCCAATGCTCTAGAACACAGAAATACTGAAAACCTCCTCACTCACAACAATCAAAATTCAAACACAACACAATTGAAATAATGAACAACTGTCTCCTCGGGTCACTAAAGTGTTAAATACAGCAAATGAGATGCACTCTTTCACAATAATTAACTTGTAGCATCATTAATCTCATCACAGCTGTTTGCTATCAAAATATTCCTCATACCGCTCCAGTTGAGAGCCACCAGACACCTTTTTCTCCACGTGATGCTGCCAAGTTCATCATAACTGCCACAGTTGGCAGTTTAACAGGGAGGTGCACTCTTCTTCCCTTACACCTGGTCAGCAAACACACCTGTAACTCTATCTCACTAAACAGTAAGATGCTCCATCTGGTGGCGCAGCCTGGTACTACAGCACTATGTGTTCTGATGTGCAAGTCCAACATTTTCTGCCTGCCAGTTCATATGTTTTTAAGTAATCAATTTATTTAATTATTTCAAATGTAATAATTAGCGTTCTATTTCATCTGGATTATAGTCTTAACCAGCTTGAATAAGCTTCCCTAAAATTGTGCTGATTTTTGACTTTGTAATCACAAAAGGTTAGAAATAGTTTGACATGGTATTTCACAGTCCAGTTTCAAAGTGAAGCTACCACAGATAAGGAGCTTCTTTGACTCCCCAAGTGCAGCTTTGAGGTGTTAAACTGTAGATATACTGCCAAACCTTTGGGCTTTGTTGTTTGACCTTCAAGTCCTGTACTGTGAAATACCAGAGAGCTTCTTCTCAGCATGAACTGGAATGTGTAGCTGAATAACATAATAACAGTTTTTAGTATTATTAAACCTTACCAACAAACAGGATTCTTGTACGTTTTTACTGTGTATGTAAAACCCTGTTTCTACTGTTATGTGTAATGTGGTGCTCCACTCATGTAAGATTGAAGTTTGGGACATCACAAGCCTGGAGCTGACACCACAATAACAGCAGGGTAGATAGTGTAATCTCTCAATTATTTTATGAGAGGTAACATTCACCATCTGTTCATGTGGCGATGTTGGATGCTGCTCACTCACAGTGACACTGTTGAATGACATCACTCTCTAAAGATTTAATCTATGAAGATGGGTGCACTGTTGGAGTTTTTTTTCTCTGTAAAATCAAGGCCTTGTACAGAGCAATGAGTCAATATGAAAGACATGCATGAGAGGCAGTAGATGAGGCGAAGTGTTTTATTTCTTTCATGCGTCTTTGAGTGCGGTATGGAATGAAAGAAACTATTTTGTCTTTGAAAGTTTCCAAAGCCAGTCAAATGTGTGTGGGAGGAGTAGCTGAATAGCTTCTAGAGGAAGATTTATTATTTATTTTGTTGGTTATCTTGCCAGATCATTATGTTCTATAATTTGTGATGTACTTCTTTTGTAAGCCATACTGATTCTAAGGTTTAGTCCACACCCCTTTTTACAAGTGATATCTATTCCTTTGCTCTTGTTTTCTGTTGTTGGTAGACTGACTGTCATTCCTTTTCTTGTTATTGCCTTACGAGGAAGAAAAAAAATGGAAAAACTGCTTGTTGACACACCAGTGCAGTGCAGCTGTATGTTTACTGAACGTGCTTATTTCAAGAATGCAGTCGTCACCGTCGCTCCAATATGGCACATGGGCCTCATAAGAAACACTGTTAAACTATGAGATGGTACAAGTTGGGTGTTGCTACCTGCTGGGCATTTCTGCCTATTGCACCACAATATTTAAAATGTTTTTTAAGGATTTAGTCAAATATTATTGTTACAATCTCAGTGTGGACTGTAGCAATTTTCCCAAAACAAGTTAACTGCTCAGTTTTTTAACAGACAGTTTTCTTAGCATTTTTCAGAGACCTAAAGTCTTGTTTGTGCTTGGTTCTGCAGTGCTGTCTATGTACAGATATCCAACAGCAAAGTATAAACACACAAAGGTTAGGCTGAAGCTGCCAGAGTCTAAAAGGGAAATCTTAAATACACTGAGTTAAGGAGAACTTCTAATTCCCACTCAGCGGTGGTTGTTCTCTTAGGAATACAGATAAGACACAAAAATGTGTTTTCCCATGCTTATCATGCTTTTTCTCAGGCACGCACACACACACACACACACACACACACACACACACACACACACACACACACACACACACACACACACATTCTCATGCCTAGCCCTTACCTTAAACTGAACTTATATCTCACCCTAATCCTGCAACCAAGTCACAACAATCACAGTCCTAAAAAAAATAGGACTACTCAAACTACCCTCACTTTCTAAAAGTGTTCTCATTGTCCAAAATAATTGCTCCTCAAAAAGGTCAGACAAGTGCAAGCACATTTAAAATCTATAATTTCCCTTGTCCTTTAGTCTGTGTTAGCTCACAATTTTACATCCACAGTATGCTGTAGCTCACTACTTTATATCTATGACTTATTTCTAATGGCTTGCTAAGTAATTGATGCAACAGCTACCAGACTTTTAATTACACCAACAGCATAGTAAATATTTTTGGTAACAGATGGATTACAGATGGTCTTGTTTAACCCCGTGCCAACTGTTGGTTTGGCTTTGAGCTTGATGTCTCTCCAAAGGAAATTAAAGACACACCTTCATTTCAGTATGTTAAGGCCCACATCATCTGCCTGTCTTTTGGACCCATTTCCTCTGCTCCTGCTGCTTCTGTGGCAGATTCCCATTTGCTTCTATGCACCGGCTGGGAACTGCATTGATGCTTAAAGAAGTGGCTGTGCAGGCTAACTCAAAGACCCCTCTCCACTGAGGTCCCAGGATAGCGGTGAGCACTGACTGAACACATTTCACATTACCGCATGAGGCAAAAGGGAGCAAGGGAACAGCGCTGCTCCTTTGACTGCCTGGCAATACACAGCCACAGTTAATGAAGTGTTTTCGAAAGGGGGTATGCTTGAAAATGGGGTGATAAGCAGCCGTTAAATATATGTGCGTTGTTTTCACTGCTACAGCAGCTCCTTGGCTACAGCTGCTCAGCCCTGCGCTGTGAGCATTGTATACGACCACTCAAAGTCAAACCACAAGCTGTACACTGGAGCTGGCTACATTTCACTGCCTGGAGGCTCCTGTCTGCCTCTTCCTCCTATCCTACCTCTTGTTTTTTTCCTCGCATCCCCCATCTCCTTATCCCTCCCTCCCTTCATGCTTCAGCGGGCCACCTGAGGGGGGATATGCGCTGGTGACAGCTTGAGGGGAGATGTGGGCAGCCTTCCCTCTTAGCTGGAGGATGGTGTGGAAGAGTTAGAGAAGCTACGGATTAGGGCTTCCACAGAGAGGAACTTCGCTGTGTTGAATTGCCACCAGACAGCAACAAGACCAGTGACTTCTCAGCAGTTAACCTTGATTTTCTGGTTTTGTATTCTTTAGTATATCTGTTTAAGTGAGAATGGAATGTAAGACAGCAGTTAGGGCAAGAGTGTCCTCATTTGGTGCAGTTACTGTCTAAATATAAATGAGTATGAATACAGTTGTATTATGTCCTGGATGGTTGTTGGAAAAGAATCTGTTTGTACATTTATATTTACCCTCATCAAGAAAAAAAAACAAAAAAACAAAAAATCTTTGTTGTCTTCAGATTGAATACAAATAGCTTTTATGTACTCAGATGTTTAACTGCCATTTAGGTAAACTCATAAATACAAAGTTAAAAATTCAGAGCTTACCTCAGAATCTTGAGGACGCTTGTAAATTTCTCAGGACACGCTGCCCAAGTCTTTTCAGCGCTGTGCTGTTTGTGCACTTTGAGGTTGGATTGGCACAGTGCAGGTCTTTGAGTCCTGGAATAAGCTCAGTGTGACCTGCACATACAGCTCAAACCCAGTTTTGCATGGTGCATGCCTTTCTTTAAAGGCCCCAGTTGAAAGAGCTGTTCCCATTTTGACAGAGTTGAAGGCAACACAGCTCTGTGCTTATTTTTATAGGAAACTTAACGTCTCTTTCTTAACCGAAGTTTGGATGTTGGACGTCTTTTAAATTCCAAAGAAAGTCATATTTATTAGCTTTGTAATTACTCTTCACAAAATCTTGGCTTGGGGTTTTGTTTACTGTGAAAGCTTGCATTGCTGAAAGAGCAGAGAGCAAGATGGATAGATGGACAAAATATTCAACAGAGCTGTAACTGTCTCATCCATCCATCCATCCATCCATCCATCCATCCACTACTTAATCCTCACTAGGGTCGTGGGGGGCTGGAGTCTGTCCCAGCTGATATTGGGTGAAGGCAGGGGACACCCTGGACAGGTAACCAGTCTATCACAGGGCTACACTTAGAGACAGACAACCAAGCACACTCACATTCACACCTACGGACAATTTAGAATCACCAATTAACCTCAACATGTTTCTGGACTGTGGGAGGAAGCCGGCAGCCCTCATACATAAACAATTACAAAAAAAAAAAGTTTGTAAATATGCAACTGCTGAATAAAACTTGTGCTACTTGCAGTATTCTTGATAATTTTCTCAAATGAAAATAGTATATCTACATCTAAGTTACACTGGAATTTAATTCTGAGTACATAGTGATAGCTATGTGTTGTAATATCACATGCACTTATGTGAGAAATTTAAATCCCTCGTTTGTCCTAATGCAGTGAGCGTTTCATATGTCTGAGTGCATTTGTCGTAGGAGATGTGCAATTTAATACAGTGTAATATAGTGGTCTTAAAATATGTTATATTTTTGTGAAATCTGTTACATTTCTATGAATTCCTGTATCAGAGCCGATGCTTCATGCCACTTTGTAGAGCACCTGTACTCCTGTAATGCAATTCAATGAGAAATCACTACTAAATGCTGTCTGAGTAAATTACCATGGAGCTAACACACTCAACAATAATAGCTTTATGGACGTACTTCTTTCTGCAAGACTACTTATTAGATTGCATTATATTCTAACAATGCTATTGTGTCCAAAGCTTTTATGTTGTGCTGCTGTTGAAGTGTTCCTTCTGGCCTGACGTAATCCTATTTTAACAATGACCACCAGTCAACAATAGGAGCCTTTCAGCCACTACGTTTGGGGTTGGGGAAGTTGGCTTGTGCACCTTTTATTGCCGTCTAAACTTTGTGCCCCTGCAGGTTTTGGGCTAGTTTCAATGAAACTTAGATGCTGTTTGCTTCTGTTCAGCTGCTGAGCACTCATTTTGAAGCGTGCTGCACTGTTGGACAACAGCTGAGTGTTTGTGGGCAGTTGTTTATTAGCAAGTCAGTTTGATGAAGACATTGTTTTGCAGTCTGCCTTGCTTGGCCTTGCAGTAGAGTAATTCATTCACTGGTTGAGACTGACAGATTGGTTCATCAGCGGCACGGTGGCCTGTGCGGTATGTTGTTGTGAGCCGTCTCAAATGAATGTGTGTGGCTGGGAAAATGATTACGTTCCATAGTTCTCATGAGGGCGTTTGGACCTAATTAACCCCCTTCTTTATGACTGTATCCTGCACTTGAGGACAGATAGGCCAAGTAAGCACAGTTTTCCCTGACACCATCAGACATGCTGCTGTGTACTCTCGTGTTATATTCCCAGTGTCCAAGAAATAAATTCCCTAGCAGACGTTGGCTTGTAATAATAGAAACACAATTGCTGCTCTGTATCAGTGAGACTTACCACTACTGTTAACAGCCTCAGCTCAAGTCATTTCATCTCTGTGAGTGGCAGTGCTTCCAAGGAGAACATTGGCAAAACATTTAGAGATATGGAATGTGGAGACTGGCTGCAGAACAGAGAGATGCAGCTCCTCTCTGTTTTGGAAGCGTTTGCTCCCCGTGTCATTACTTTAACGTGCTATACACTGTGAGCAGCAGAGCGTGTATGAATTCAGATTGGTTGTGTGGGTGTGTGTCTGCTGGAGACGGAGGGTAGCGATTGGCCCAAGGCGGAAGTTGTGGAACTAGAAAAAGACACTTGTTGTACAATTTTAACTCTTCCATGACATGATGACTTCTCCTGCTTGTCTCATGATAACAAAAGTCAGAAAAAAAGAAGAAGATTTTGTCAGGTTTTCAGCCCATCCTCTGATAATTGCATAGTTTTACTTCGCTAAGCATTTAACTCATCGCTGTTTTAGACATACCACCAGTACATATAACTTTATAATTAGGGTCATGGTGTTTTATCTGCTCTCAGTTTTCACACTGTTTTTGCTTGGCCAGTTTCTCTGAATCTAATTTCATGTGCTGTTTTTTTCTCTCATCTCCTCTTCAGTGAACGTTGGACCTCTCCACTTTAACTGTTTGCGAGCTGTTTACGCCTGCCTGATTCAGCAATGAGCGTCAAGTCAGCCATCAACAAGGAGGTCTTCATACCCCACGATGAGAAGATGCTTGCTGCCGTGCAGGTGAAACGGAGGACCAAGAAAAAGATCCCTTTCCTGGCCACTGGTGGTCAGGGAGATTACATGACCTTCATCTGCCTCTCAGGTTAGAACAAATGAAATCCTCAGTTTTCTTTTTTTTTTGTTTAATTGGATTTAATGTGTTTGTCTATTTGTGCGCACATGTTTGTGTCAGTTGTGCTCCTGCAAACCAAAGTCACATTTCAACACGTCTCCCTTAATTCCCCCTCTAATGTTCACACTGATGAGCATGTTTACGTTTCCTCTGCCACGCTAAATCAATTTAGTGCTGGGCTTTAGGTCAATCCTTTTTAAAATAGATTAGATTTAAGCTGAAATTGAATAATTGTTTCACTAGAAATTGCGCTTTCAGTCATTTTTATTTATTAATTCATTGCTGTTGGAACATTGACTGATATATTGCTTGTTAATTAAATTAGCCATGCATCCATGAGAAGAACAGCGAGAGCCTACTGATGTAGAAGAACTGCTTATAAAGATCAACGACATTTGTGAATCCTGCAGCTTTTACGTAAAAATTAAACTCTGCTTTAACGTCAGCAAATTGCATGATATTGCAAGAGTTCATAGGTACTTAACGGTGGTGAGGGCGATTTTAGAGTATATCAGTACAGCACAAAGGCTGCTAAAGCTCTGTCGATGTTGGATTCAAATTCAAGGTTGCCTTGCAGTAGTCGCAGCTACTAAACAGTGAGCCTCTGTGTTTACACTGTCAGGTACATGCACATAAAAGCCCATTGTGTCAATGCAAGTCACAAATTAATGACAAGTTTTAGAGAGCGGACACTGTTTTTCCAAAGGGGTCATTATGAATCATTTTTCCTTTCATGTGGAAATGAGTTTTGCTTGATATTCACTTCTTGTAATGCCGGTCTCATCACGTCTCCAGCAGCAGCCTTCACCTCTGTGTCCCATTTGAGCTTTGCTGCTCTGAAAAATAATAAAATCATCGCATGCCGTGACTGCTTAGTCTGGCATCACCAAAATTATTAAGTCATCTTATAGCGTGCTTGATTTAAAAAAAATAAGTTAATTACAGCAAAATATCTGACATTTTGTGGATGGATTAGTTATAGTGAGGATTAAGTGGTGTATAGATAATGGATGGATGGATGGATTAGTTATTAGTCGCTAGTGGAAGCTGCCAGTTTGGCTCCTTGCAGCTGTGTTGAAAAATTGCAAAATTAGGGAATCTACAGGGACTTTTTCAAACCTTTGACTCTTACCATAAAGAACAGAAATATTTTAATCCCATCTTCAACGTTGTTTTGAATGTTGTTGTAATCAACAGGTGGAGAGCATCTATATGTGAGCATAGAGGACTCTGCTGATGTGTCTTTAGGCAAGACGCCATATCCACTGTACTAGAGCTTTATCTTAAGAAATGCCTTTTGTCTTCAGGTGTTTCCCATTTGCATCAACTGTTGGCCTTTTTTGTTTGATAAATAATTTTGAGTCTGGTTCAGGACTAGGGGCTGAACAAGTGATCGTTTCAAATTAAAATAATGTTAAACAATGCAATTAGCAAATTGCAAAGGTTGCTGTTTAGCATCTAGGAATTGTTGCTATTAAGTAATGAGACTAATGCTGCAATTGAGTTTCATTTAAACTGAGAAAATGGAAACGTAATTTTTTTTTCCCATGCTTGCTCTTGATCAATGTATACTGCGTGGTTTAGACTTGCATAGCCACCGTATGTTTGTCTGATCCAGAGTTGTCAGCGCAAATTCCTGCTGTGCTCCGTGTGTGACAGTCACACTTGTGGTATGTCATGTGGTAAAGCTCCATCACATGTTTTAAACCTATTGCACAGTGAAAGAACTGTGAACTGAAGCTTGACTTTGAAAAATTAAATCACAAATCAAATTGCAGTATATGTCAGAAAAATCACAAATAGATATTTTTGCCAAATTGCCAGGCCCTGCTAGGGGTCTTTCCCCATATCTCTCAGTCCCTTCATTCCCCAACTTCACACTGAAAAAAAAATGCCAACTGAAATGCTCTCTGACAGATAATCTAAAGGCAGTCAAGTAATGCATTAATAAACTAACTGGTGCCTGTTGCCTTTCAGTCATGTAGTTAATAAATAACAGTTGACCTACATTAAATGGAAAAATAAAGGAAAATGATGTATTTATCTTTGATTGTCGTAGTAGTACAGCTAGATAGATAGATAGATAGATAGATAGATAGATACAACTTTATTGATCCCTTTGGTATGAACCTCTGGGAAATTGTTGTACTAGCACCAACAACACAACACCAACACAACATTAGTAATAATTATAATAAGTACCTAAACATGTATCCCTTAGACAGCCTCAGTGGGACTGCTCAATCTCATTCACTGAATGACTGTGTGTGTTTCAGGACAGAAAGACAAGCTGATGTAAGTCGGGTCAGTCTTAAATCCCTGCTGACACGTCGGGGGGGAGTGAATTTAAACTGCCTTAAAGTTTCTATCAGTGGATTTATAGAGATTTACTTTTATGGAGATGTGATACAGTCAGTGACTCCAACCTTGCTGTAAAGATGAAGAGGCTTAATGTTGTAGTGTGCGAGTAAAAGGACTGTGGGATGTTGCATTCTCACTTCATTTACTTTTTATATAACCCAGCTGAATAGGTGTGTTTTCTGTAATGGTCCACAGAGGATGAATGTAGGCGTCAAGGCTCTATTTTCTTTTTTTTTCTTACTTTTTTTTTTTTTTACGTAGGACTGAGAAGACTAACTGCCATTCATTCACAGCCATCTTTCCTTATTTTGAGCAGAGACATCAGGCTGTTTCATCTTTGTATTGAAAGCCTTCTTGAGTCATTTCTAAAGAAGAAGCATTTTGCATCCTGTTGCCGTTTTGATATCTTCTATATATGAAGGACAGAATGTTTCAGAATGTTCTGAAACTGCCTCAGTAGTGAAGGCAAGCACTGTTGTGTAGTTCACTTAGTCATGTGGCATTTCTTTAAGCCAGCAAAGCATTGTTCTGAGTCTTATGTGTGTGTTCCTGTGCATGGAGTACATAGTCCAACAATAGGTTTGATACCAGCCAGCGCACGCCTCCCAGAGCTCTCGAGATACAAGGCGACTTGTGTGACTTTGAGTGTGTAACTATGTGAAAGCGCTCTGTGTGTGTGTGTGTGTGTGTGTGTATACGTTTGGGGGATGGGGGTCACTGACAGTCTCATGGCTACAGTAGCAGATAGTTGAAGCCTCAGGGCCATGCAGTGGCAGAGTTATGTAATCTGTTGCATGTCACGGCGAGAGGAAGCCTACAGTACGAGGAGCTGCACTGTAGAGACAACCACAGGCGCTTCACTCTCAAGATGAGTGGGGTGCCAGGATGAAACACCAGCCTGTCACTGCTGCTCTAATTCCAGGATCAAATACTGTAGCGCTGTCATGAGACGCGGCCGAGTATGAGGGAAAAAAGCGAGCTATTTTCACCTAATACGAATGAGAACAACATCACTGCTTCATTACAGTTCGTAAATAGTCAGTTTCTTATTTGTTTGGAATAAATCGCTGCTTTCGCAGGCGTGTAATATGGATGTTATGCAGACGACCTTGTAACCACAGTATTCGGTCTGAGCTGTCGTTTCAGTGTGGGTGAGTCTGGGTATTTGACTTGTCTCTTAGTTGGAACACTTGGCTGTTTGTCTTAGTTAGAGAGCTACATTTATCAGTGGAACAAAAAAGCCTGGACAGCTGCCACTTGGAGAGCAGTGCTTCTTGTTTCAGAATTACATGTGGCTCCAGGAAAACAAGAGTGGTTCTGCTCACTTAGCTAACTGTTGTTTGGCTTCACAGTAAGAGCTTGGAAATCAGTCTTATGTTAGCAAAGCAGACCAATGAAATTCCTTAATTCCCTGTAGCAATAAACTGATTTCCATTGGAAGAGGCCTTGAGATCAGAGGTGTCTAAGCTGACTTGAAGATGAAGAACTACTAGATTTTTTTGGCTGAGTTCATGTCCTAATCACTTTGTGTAGTGCAGCAGAACTGGTGTGTTTTGTACACTTTCTGCAGGCAGCCTGGTAGGTTTCAATAAGAGTCTGGATTTAGTCTGTTTTGAAGTGAATAAGGTATGATAGTGGTGACAACACACATTCCCAAGATTATAGGATTTGAATTTAAAGCGTAACTAAGCAAATTTTTAAACTCATTTTCTGATTATGGCAGACATTATTCAGTGTGGAGTCAGGCTGCATTACCTCCTTTCCATCTCATAATTTCTTTTCTAGTTTTGCATGAACAACAGTGGAGAAAAGCCTTTAGGTATAATTACTATCCAGTTTAAACTATAAGCAAATAAGAGCAATTTTAGCTTCCTTTTGTTATGGAGCAGGGGAAGCAAATGAGTGTCGGTCTAACGGATGTAAATGCTCTGCGTGTTTTACATTAAATTTTTTTTTTCTTTGTTACAAACTTACATTTATCATATTTGACTTGCTTTGTCAAATATAGTTCAAAACTAAACACCCCACCCTGGCCTGTTTTGTGCTGAAATTTCCAAGACGTCTTTGATCTTACACACATACACAATTCACACAGAGCGGCTCGACTGCACACAGAAACATATGTTAACGCTTTTGCAACAACATCAGGGGTCTTGATGACATAGGAGCGTGCTGGAGCGATGCCAGAAGCTCAACACGGTCCAAGTTGGTTAGTGAGCTTTCTCTTTGATCACTGGGCTTCACGCGGTGCCTCCGTGGCTGAACCTTAGGGCCGAAACACTGGACCGCCCACAGAATGTTTGGCAGGAGAGATGTGAGGCCAGTTGAGCTAGATAAGACTCTGTGAAGGTTCACCGAAGGTAGCCTATTAGCCTACATGATTTGTTTTTCAGTCTTCCTTCCTTCCTTCCTTCCTTCCTTCCTTCCTTCCTTCCTTCCTTCCTGCTTAATTTTCCGTACCTTTTTGCCCATGTGTCTGTGTGTGTCTGTATGTGTGAGTGTGTGTGTGTTTGTGTATATAACTACTACAGTTTGGCAGCTTTGGGGGATTTAGCGAAGGAAATGAGAAGCCATCTGTTGGTTTTCAAAATCATATTAGGGAATACCAT